TCAAACGTTGCAACAAAAAACTCAAAATCCCTTATATTGTGGGATGGAGGGAGTAATTAAAATGTAACTATAGTGTAACTACAATGTAACTAGAATGTAACTTAGATGTAACTTGAACAAATGTACCATAAACATACGATGATGGGATTAGCTTGTGAAAAAAGAGTTTAGATCCGATAGCAAAATATCTCAGCACAAATCTTAGCATGAAATCAACGGCAAAAAAATTAACAGTTTTCAGTCATGAAAACTATCGACGGTTAGCTAGCAGAACCGTTCATATTATAAGACCACGTTCATATAAATGTTAATATACTTATATAAATATGGATAATGCTAGAATGTCTTATAATATGAAACGGAGGAAATAGAAACTAATTAAAGTGTAAGAAACTTTTTAACACTAAAATACGCTTCAACAAAAATTATAATGTTGCTCGGAGTATTTTTCTTAAATTCTCCATGCTGTGAATTGTCTACCCCAATTTTTACTTGAATCAAGAAACCTAAAAACTGTCTTCTATCTCTTTGGGCCTAATCCGGCCCGAAGTATGTTTTTTCCTCCTCTCTTAGCCGGCCCGCTACGTCTCCTCCCTCTCGGCGTCTTCCTCCCGAGTGGGCTCGGCCCAGCCGACCCAGGAATCCGACGCGTCGTCATTATCTTCCTCAAGCATCCGCCCACTTGATCTCCCTGCCCTACCCGCACGTTTCCTCCTCCAATTAATTACAAAAATCAGTTCCCTTTTCGTCCTTTTTATTTTCTCTCATGTTTTCCGCTCTTAATTCGGTCTTTATTCGCTGGATACAATCCATTAACCTCTATTGGAGGCCGGCTGGCCTGCATCTCTCGTCGTCGACGGGATCTTTGGAAAGTTGACGACGTTGTTCTTTGGGCCGGTGCTCGATAGAGTAGGTGTTCTTTTTTTTTTGCTCCTTCTATTTTATTTTTTAGCATTATCTTTTAAGTCGCTAAATATATACTCATAATAGATGTTTGGCGAAACAAAGAGATCAATGACTAAACCAAAATCTGTCTCTTTTGATCTAGTTTGTTTGGCATAAGTCGATCACACTACTACAGTACAAAAATGCACGGAAGGGACGGTTCAATAGGTACCGAAAATGATAAAACTGGAACCTATAGTCCTTTTCCTGCCCAAGACGTGCGCCCGTGGGGCACCATCAACTAGAACGGCACCTCTATGGAGAGATAGGTACCGATTCTAAATAAAAACCGACATGTATAGTATTAGTGTCGGTTTATTCAGAAGAATTGACACCTACAACATACTATAGGTCCTAGATTTTAATAACCGGTATACCTATACTTATATTGATCGTATAGGTGCCATCGAAAAATGCTGTCTGTCGCGCGTCCGATGAGAGGAGAGGAAAATCGGACTGTCTACATGCCACAGTATGCATGCAGAGAATCTTTTCTCCCATACTCACATCTTTCATTCCTTCAAAAGATTTTTTTTTCTCTTAAACTATTTATCTAATCTATGATTTGATTGCACTACTAAATTCGTTATAATTAAATCTTTACAACAAGACCACACATGATTATATTTCGACAAAAAATATTTTAGTTTTTTCATTGATGTTTTTAATGTTGCATAGGGTCTTTTTTGATGTTTCAACCAGTAGTTTTACAATGTTTCAGCTACTGTACTCATGATGTTTCACTATATACGGATCAAATGTTGTAGTGGATTTTGATATTATGGAATATGCCGTTGCAACAAATCACCTACATATTTTGGAAACCCTCTATTAAGGGAATTTGGTTTATTTTTTGTTCCATCAAAAATGTTTCATCTAGTGCATTCACAATATTTCGCTATGTATAGATCTAATGTTACAGTGAACTGAAATACTCCATTGCAACAAATCACCCACATATTTTGGAAACCCTCTATTAAGGGAATTTGGTTTATTTTTTGTTCCACAAAAAATATTTTACCTAGTGTACTCACAATGTTTCACTATGTATAGATCTAATGTTGCAGTGAACTGAAACATTATTTCGCTATTTGTTGAAACATTGTTTTTATATAAGGTGAAACAACGTCCGATTTAAACGATTGAAATATTTTCGATCTACTTAGTGAAACAATTCCGATATACTTGGTCGAACATTGTGCAACATTTTAAAAAAATTCAATAATAAGCTAAAAAATTTTTTGTCGGAATATATCCATGTGTGGACTTATTTTAAAGATTTAATTGCAACGAATTTAATGGTGCAATCGGATCATGATTTGGATAAATAATTTAAAAGAAAAATAAGTTTAAAGTAGTTTTGCACGTAAATCGGGTGCTGACGTCAGCGCCCGATTTCCCCTGCTCCCCGTCGGACGACCGACATGTAGTCGCGTCCCATTTTTTTTAAAGAATCGACACCTATTAAAAAAACAGCCAGAGTCAACCGAGTTGATCAACCTTATCTACTCCCCTCACTAGCCCCATCCCTCCCTCGTGGCTCACGCATCTCACAACGGGCTGTAACGGCCCATCAAATCTGGCATTTCGCTGCCTCTAAACCCCCTTTCCCCCAGGCCCCCACCCGCGCGTGTTGGCCGCAGCAACATCTTCCTCCGCTGGGTGATGTCGGGCCCGCCAGATCTAGCAGTTCCGTGCCACCTCTGTGCCCCCTTCCACCCCATCCACACGCGTTCAACCGTGACCACCTCTTCCTTCGTTGGGCGGTGGTTGGCCTGTTGGATCTGGCACTTGTGCCACCTCCGTCGCCTCCGCTCCCCCTTTCTCCGCTCGCGCGCGTCTCCCCGGTGCGGCAGCCTGTTTACGAAAAAATCGAACACACTGGCCTGGGAGATCTGCTTAGCTCCAGTGCAGATCCAAATGTTGATGAGATGCGGGCGTGCCAGTCAGTTTGATCCTGCAACTAACAAGACATGCAAACAGCAGATAAAATAGCCGATTGGCTGACAAGCCGATGGAGTAATTCCAGCCGATAGCCGATATTAGCCGATGTCGATTCTAGCCGATGTCGATAGGGTTTTGAGCAATTGGCTATATGTAGATAATGATATAAAGGCGATCGGCTGATGATGATAAATAACAATAATATATCAATATAATCCAGTAGAAACTAATCAGCTAACAATATGATGTAATAGAACAAACACTGATCCAAAGGGTAAATAATACATTGGCTGGAGGTCCGATGTCATAAAATCCACATGATTAGATAAATCAATGAAACCTTTGTTGCCATCGGCTAAATCCAACTTATATATACAATCCTTATAAGCCGATGCAACGTCCAGATAATTCATCGGCTGAAACCCCGATGAAACCCTTATTGGCAATCAACAAGCAGGCTAGAGATTACGGTTCTAAGCACGACTTAGTAGATCAAACTTAACTGATACAGCACTATGTATGAAAAGAAACACAATATCTAGACAATCAAGCCCTTAACTGATTTTCAGGGTGGTAGATGCCTAAGCTAATCTAATCTAGTAAAACAATTTAGCCGATATCGGTAGAAACCCTAAAGCGAGAGACAACCGATAGAGCTAAATTGAGATGCTAAGACTAGATTAACATAGACATATGATAAATAGCCAGGCAAATATATTATCCGAACCAGAGCAATCCAAGAGGTCGAATGCACTGATGCAGCCTTGAACGACGCCGACGTAGATGATACAATTGCCTAGGCCAGCGGAACATTGGACTTACCCCTTCGCCGGAGATCGAACTGAACCGATGCAGCCCCGCGTCAGGTGTCAAGTTCCGCCGGATGAAAAATAAAGTAGAAAAGGTAAAAGGTGGCGATGTGCCGAATTGTATCGATCGTGGAGATTGATAAATCACAATGACTCCGGGTGTACATATTTATACCCATGGGAAGATACTAGTCCTTGTAGGATAAGAAAGAAACTTTCCTAAAGATAAAAGGAAAATATAAAGTTTTTATCGGACACTAAACACACTTTCCTAAAGATAAAAGGAAACTAAACCATGCTTAATTAATAGATAATTGCCATGCTGCATCCTTTTTGGACTCGGACTCTTCTAGATAAGCTTCCTTTAATTGATCCGACTCCATCAAGAACACAACTTCTGGCGACTTAACGACTCCCATCGGCTGATTCCACTACTCTAAAGCCGATACTGACTCTTACCCGATAATAACTCCGGACTTACCAAATTTTGACGTTAACACAGCCGCGGTGGCGTCAGGCGAGCCGACGACGAGTTTGACGACAACGATGCCATCGGGGGTGTCTGATACGCGAACGATCGCGGCGATCATCCCCCCGCGATCGAAGTTTCGACCGGATATATTTGTTAAGTCAACAGTACCAGCTATACCATACCTTTGTTTCATATCAGTATTATCTCCATGTGATTAGTCAAAGTGATTATATTTTATAGCAATTAGCATATGGTTAGTGTTCACTTAAGCATATTAGGTATGCAGTCCTTGTTTGTATTAGAGTTAAGGATTTTCTAAATAAAATATTTTTATAAATGTCAATTTAAATTTTAGATTTTATACAAGAAAATGATAAACTTTATACACGTAAACTTTATACATGTAAACTTTATACACGTAAACTTTATACATATAAACTTTATACACATAAACTTTATACATATAAACTTCGATAAAAAAGACTTTATACCTAAATTATACTAGAGTTAAGGATTTTCTAAATAAAATATTTTTATAAATGTCAATTTAAATTTTAGATTTTATACAAGAAAATGATAAACTTTATACACGTAAACTTTATACATATAAACTTTATACACATAAACTTTATACATATAAACTTCGATAAAAAAGACTTTATACCTAAATTATACTTTTAAATAGATAAAATTGGATTTAAATTGTACAGTTAAATAGATTACAAAATTAAGAGATAAATAAAACACATATATATCGATAAAAAACAAAAGTATATAATAGCAATAATGATATAAAATTATAAGAGTACCTTGCTAGCTAGTGTTACTTTGGTAATTAACAATCCAAATCACCATATAGAGAAATTACCGTACAGCTCCAACTCCTCTCTCCACATGGGCAGGTCAAAGCCCATAGGACATGCCTCAATCTCTTCCAGGTGAGAAACGTGATCGCGTTTGCCTCCCCCACGCGACCGATCGCTTAATAGCAATCTCGCTCTCTGTCTCCTCCCCCCTCCATGTGTGGCGTCCTAGTATAACGATGGTTGCACCGTGGCCTCAGATCCAACAGAGCGATGAGGAGTCCAAGACCCGTGCACGTTCTGTTGTTTCTCTTGATATTGATTTTCTCTGATTGTGTTGATGTTGATTCGGTGGAGATTATGAATTTTTCTGATTGTGTGGATATAATGTTAATTTGATGGAGATTACAATTTTTTCTGATTGTGTGGATGTTATTTCTTAATCTATGAAATTTTCTTTCTAAATTGCTAGGAGAAATATGGGGGGCTTGAAAGCATTATTTTTCTCACAGAAAGGTTATAGATTTCGGTTGTGGAACCAGTACCTATAAATAGTCTCATCTGTGTCGTCTACTGGATGCCGATTGAAAAATCCAGCACGTGTAGCTAGCTCGCAACCTGCCCCAACACGTTTTCTATAGTAGTGTCGGTTGTCGCATTCCTTGTCTCCTTAAGGCATTGTTGGTTAATCACTATGAAGCAGGGATTGGAGAAGATTTATTCTAGACCTATTATAGTGTGGAATTATTCCACTCAATCCCCTCTAAACCGAACATGACGTAAAGCTGATGAAACCCATCCAACAAGTGAAATTTCACCGTACGTACCCCTTCCAATGTGGCCGTTTCGTGTAGCATCCGGCTATTGACTCTTTTATTCAGAAGATTACTATATTAATTGTACGAGTACATAAACACCATCGATCTCGTGTACGTACGTAACGTAAATACGTAATATCCGTCGTTGTCCTCGCACCGAGCTGCACTGGCCGTCGCCGCCGCCGATGGCCGCCGTCGACGACGACAGGTGGGAGGACCTCCCGACGGACCTCCTCACGGAGATCCTGCTGTGCCTCCCGCCGATCAGCGGCCGGCGGCGCGTCCGCCTCGTGTGCAGCCGCTGGCGCGACGCCGTCGACGAGCTCGAACCGGAGACGACGCACAGCCGCGCCAAGCCGCTCACCTTCTTGAAGCGATCCGTCGACAGTGGCCGCCCGGCCACCGCGCGCGTGTTCGACGACCTCGCCGGCGGTGGGCTCGGCGGCAGCAGGGAGATCTGGAACGGCGGCGGCGGCGGCGACGGCGTGTCCGGTAGTTCCCCGGACATCGTCGGCACGTGCAACGGCCTTCTCTGCCTGTGGCACTGTGGTAGCGACAGCGGCGGCGAGATAACGCTGGTCAACCCGGTCACCGGCGAGAGCCTCGCCATCCCGCCGCCGCCGCCGCCGTCGCCGCGGTGGAGGAGCCACACGACGGAGGGGCCGGAGGCAGAGAGGCTCAGCTTCGCGTACCACCCGCTGACGGGGAGGTACAGCATCGTCCACTTCCCCGCCGCCTTCTGCGACGGCGGCGGCGACAACCTCGCCGACCCGGCGGTGGAAGTGCTCACGCTCGGCGGCGCGGGCGCGTCGGCGTCGTGGCGGGAGGTGGCGGCGCCGCCCGGCTCGAGGTGCTGCCTCGCTTTGGGCATCGTCAGCGTCGACGGCGCCACGTACTGGGTGACCAAGGACGGGAGGATCATGTCGCTTGACCATGAGCACGAACGCGTCACGGCCGTTCTGCCGCTGCCGCCGGCGATCGCCGGAGAACTTGACAGTTGGTGGAGTACCCGCCTCACAGAGGTCGCCGGAAGGTTGGGTGTCGCCATCACCTCCAACCATACGACGCCCTCCAAGTATAACGTCGAGGTACGCTCTAATAACCCTTAAGAAGTACGCTCCCCGTGTTTCTGTTTCATATTGCAAGTCAGTTTTGATTTTTTTTATGGTAAACATTTTAGTTGGATCAAGTTTATAGAAAATTATAGCTACGTTTTCAACATAAAACAAATATATTGTAAAAATGCATTCAGTGTTATATGAAGCTAATTTGGTGGTTTAGATATTGTTAAAAATTATATAAATTTGGCCACACTTAACAAAAATTTAACTAAAATAAATTAAAGTGATTTGTAATATAAAAATGAGAGAAAACAGTAAAACAGGTCCTCCTTTCCATACTAAGGTTTCTTTCCCTCACCCAAGTATGGACGAGGAAACCGATCATGTCCCATCCTTCTATAAAAATAATAGGAAAATATAAACCACAATTATCTGCTCTCTCTATCTCAAAGAAAAAAAATCAAAACCTGGGAATAAATCAGGACATAAGATTTTATTTTAATATGGGATAGAGGGAGTACTTGAGAATTTTGTAAATGGGTTTTGTTCTTTATCCCATGGGATGGCATGTATAATTTGCTATTTTCTTTAAATGAGCTAACCAATGTCATAATAGAGGGAGTAGCTACTTGTAAGATTTTTCTTTTTAATAGTGGATAAAATATAGCATTTCCTTTAAAAAAAAAGCTACAGCCACAGCTTCTTCAAACCATTAAATTTTATCGAGCTATTATCCGTCTACTCCCTAAATATCTTAACCTATCACAGTCGCCTCCATTTGATTTATTCACCTACCCCTTTATCTCAACAAATAACAAACATCCATTGTTCAATTTATGTTGCAGCATATTTCTTTGATGAGATAACTATATTTTGAAATAGATAAAATATAAAACTAATGCTCCATCTGTTCCAAAATATAGCAACATTGTACGGTCGCATGTGATATAATCCGGCTTATTGCTATGAATTTGGAAAAAAATATGTGTCGATCGTCTCAGAGATATTTTAGGGAGGAGGTAGTAATTCCTTTTAATTTGTTCCAAACACTATATATATATATTTATATATATATGTATATATATATATATATGTATATATATATATATATATATGTATATATATATCTATCTATCTATGCGAGCTATACAGATGTGTGTCCATACAGGTGTGGGTGTTGGATGGCGCAAGAGGGAAGATGACCTGGAGCCATCGTTACACTATACAAGACCTGCAGTTTAGTTACCAAGAGATTGCATGGCCACACTTCGCCTACGGAGAGAATGTCTTGACAATCTTAGACAGCGACCATCTGCGCAATCAGCTGTATACGCATTGGCTATGGCCACACAAGAACAGGACAAGTGTAGCAACGGGCGACGTGGTAAAAGGCACTTTGGTGGAGGAGTTCGTCATCGACCCGGAAAATGTGAAAATTTTATCGCTCATCGACCCTGAAATACATGTGAACATGTTCTCGTATGTAGAGACCAATGAGCCACTGAACATCTACAAGGAGGTGTGCATGGATAGTTAAGTTTGGTTAGATTGCTACCTTTATATATGACTTTGAATATAATTGGTCAATATATGATTTGTTGCACATACTTAAATATATAATAGGGGTATTAATTATTTAAACGGTTTTGCCGTGAAGTTTGAAGTGTCGCTGAAAAGCTGGAAGCTTAGCCTTCTAGTTTTTTTTCTTTTTGGTTGTTTGTTTTTTTTTATCTTTTGGTTATGAGATTTGGAGTGTATATCCGCTTATATATCTAAAAAAAATCATGGTCCATACATAGCAGCCATGGTCCCTCCTGTTGAGCTTGTGACAGTTTACAACTTTTCTCGTAATCAGCAGCTTTCCAAACCGTCTGAATTCAGTAGCTAGATAATCCAAAAAATGGAGCAACAACCATAAGCTAGGAGAAATATATGAAATATCCATATTTTCCCGGCTAATGAAAATACGTAGGGGACTCCTGGCCAAGATCCATCTATGAAATTTGATTTTTTATAGGAAGGTCTCTCCTAATATGACCACAAGTAAAAATAGTGTTATTTTAACAGGTGGGTGATCTCTTTGGAAGACGTCTGTAAAATTATAATTTTTACATGCGCCTCCCCTCTCTAAGAGGTCCGAAAGTAGGGATACCGATGCACGCATCAGTAATAAAGAAGCAGAGTTCTTACGAGAAACGACATACGTGTACGAGTTGGTTTCTACGTAAATGTTCGCGAATTAGGGTGTGTTTGCAAGTGCAGGATGGGAACTCATCCCTTCTACACGTAAAACAGAGCGGCCTTTTAACACATGATTAATTAAGTATTAGCTAATTTTTTTTTAAAAAAATAAATCAATTTGATTTTTTTAAGCAACTTTCTTATAGAAATTTTTTACAAAAAACGCACCGTTTAGTAGTTTGAAAAGCGTGTACGCGGAAAACGAGAGAGAGGGGTTGGGAACCTGGGGTTGCAAACACAGCCAGCATTCCCCGTTAGTGACGCGGGGGTTTAAAACATCGGAATGGCTAACGATCTTTTGACAGAAAATCCATCTCCAAATCTTGCAAATTTTGGTTCACTGGATGTGCTTCGCGATTCATGCTCTAGGTGCTTCTTCTCGAACTTCGGCGACCTCTTCTTTTCCGACACCGGCGATAACCCAAACTCCGGCGAAGCACCGACGAATCAGGGTCTCGGGGTGGGGGTGGGGTTAGGATGGGCGGGGGAAGAAGGGGGAGTTCGCCGGGGTTATAGGGATGGTCGTGGGAGTCAGCGGCCCAGCGGTGGGCGGCGGAACGGGTAGGCGGCTAGGCGCCAGTGGTAGCACCGAAGCCATGGGGATGGAGGAGGGCAGCGGGCCGGTGTTGGTGGCGAGAGCCACGGGGATGGAGGAGGGCAGCGGGCCGGTGTTGGTGGCGGGGGCATAGCAAGCTTGTGGTGGCTGGTGGTGGTGGATCCGGTGGCGAGGAGTCACCGGAGATGAGGAAGATGGTGGGGTGGGAGCATCTCACCTTCGATGGGTCAAGGAGGGAGGAGAGGGGGGAGGGGGAGGGGGAGGAGGCCGGCTGGGATGAGGGCCTCGCCGGCGCTGTTGACGCCTTTCGGCCAGCCAATGAGGCTGGGTGGCGACGTGCTGGGCCGGCGGCGGCAGAGGCGGCGCAGAATGCAAGCGGCGGCGTGAGGGGGGAATCGGGAAAATGAGGAGCGGCGACTGAGGAGAAGGATTTTTAGGGTTTGGTTGCATGCACAAATCTTGAAGCAATCGGGTGGTCCAAAATTTACAAGATTTCTAAGGGGGTTTTCTATCAAATGATGTATATATAGATAGTCCTTTAAAACATGTATTGATTCAAAGTGCAACAAAGTAGAGAAGCGAGGCTTGGCTAATTTGATCTCAACGTTAGAAGAGGGCCAGTTGTTTGGATTAACATAACTCAACTCAGTGGAGCTGACAGTATTTCTATATGTCTATATGGTGCAGTACTATGCTAGTGACAAGCATGCATAGAAGAAACAAGCTACACAAACAGTAGTATACATGTGGCTGATGAGCATGTCAAATTTGAGTTTAGTTGTAGTAATTAAAGAGATCATCTAAACTATATTCCATACAAAATTAAAAGGTTTGTGGTGCCTGTTATTAATTTGGAGGATGCCTCATGGAATCCTTGACAATGCCAACAGAGATAAATATCAACTATGCTTTTATATTCTTCTTGTATATTCCCAATGGCTCACTGGTTTCAACATGGGCGAACAATCGTAGCTCAAAGCTGGTGTTGAGCATTGTCACTTGTACGTCAGTCTTCTCGTCGAATCTCATCAGAATGATCCCGTCGTCCTCGACAGGGGGTGGCAAGCACATGTACTTAATATTGCTTCGCTCACTGTACAGTTGGTGGTGTACGTTGGTCAAGACATATTTGTCAAAAGCAAAGCATGGATATCCAATCTTTCGGTTGTGCTGGAGCCCTTGCATGCTGCACCAGCGGACCCAGTGTTGCTTGTCTCCTCGTCCATGTAGCACCCACACCTGCAGAGAGAGAGAGAGAGATACATTAGACAAATTAATTATGTATGCATAAAATTATATTAATTATATGATTCATAACCAACATTTGAAATGTTGACAAACAGATCGATCTCCTCACAAGTATCAGCACATTACTCCTCAATGTTGGTACTAGCTCACCAGAAAAGCTTTCTAGGATCAAGGAATTAAGGTCAAAGAATGCTCCCTCAATTTCCAAATATAAGCATTTTCTGGCTTCTTTACGTCCATATGACTTATCAAGAAATGCTTGTGTACTGCAACAGAGGGAGTATATGTTTTTTTAAGAGAACTCATTATTTTTCAAAACCTTCAGAACTTTCCTGTTTCTCATAATTCTATCTGCCATAAAGTTCAAGAATATCAATTTGGTTGCCTATCAATAGACAGTTATGATCCAACAAAATTTCCACACAAACTAAAAGAAAACCCACATGACCAAAAAATATCTTCACGAATAGAATTAGCAATATTCACAACCAGATTTGTTTTCCTAGTTTATCATAAAATTCAATGTTGATTTCGATCGCAACACTGTCTATTTGGGTAACATGTAAATAGACGGAAGCAAAATAGCATACTACTATACGTTTTTTAAGGTATCAAAGAGCATTTCTCCAGACGTATAATAATTAAGTTAATTTTTCACGAGAAACAACCCATAATTTCGATAAATTGACCCAACTATAAAACTATTTCAAGAATAAACCATGTCAAGAAAACTAATTTCAAAAATAAACCGTGACCTCAACACCAACCCCGTTAGCAGTGAGCTAAAACGTATCCGACGTGACCCAAATTAGCCAGGTACTCCCTCCATCCAAAAAAAAAACTCAACCCTCCTAGGGCTATGAATCTGGACTACCCTATGTCCAGATTCATTGTCCTAGGAGAGGTAGGTTAAGTTTTTTTGGACGGAGGGAGTAGATGCCAACTAGAATCTCTCTGAGTCATTTTAGCTTAGCGCTATTAGGGTTGACGTTGAGGTCCGGTTTATTTTAAAATTAATTTTTAATACGGTTTGTTTTTAAAATAAGTTTTATAGAAGTGTCAATTTGTCAAAATTACGCAGAAACAATGGTATACCTCGACGTTGGTTGTCCCCCGTTGGCTGGTGGCGATGGCGACTCCCAGCCTCCCGCCGACCTCCGTCAGCTGGCATCCACCGTTGTCCACCTCCATGGTTGCCGTCGTCGGTGGCGGCGGCGTCGAACTGACATTGTGCACTTCCATCATCGCCGGTAGCTGCTAGACTTCGGCGATGATTTCATGCTCCAGGTCAAGTGACATGATCTTGCCGCCCTTGCCGACCCAGTACGTGGCGCCGTCGACGCTGACGACGCCCCACGAGAGGTAGCACGTCGACCCGGCCGGCGCCGGCACCTGCCGCCACGACGCGGCGCCGCCGTCGCCGTCGCCGACGGTGAGCAGCTCCGCCACGGCGAGCGTCCTCTTCCAGCTGGAGACGGGGAGGTGCACGACCTTGTACTCGCCCGTCAGCGGGTGGTACGGGAAGCTGAGCGCCGCCGACCCGCCGAGGATCTCCTTCGCCTTCGGCGGCGGTTGGACCACGAGGCGCTCGCCGGTGGCGCGGTTGAGCAGCACGAGGGTGTGGCTGCCGACGTAGCGGGAGTGCGCCAGGAGGACGATGCCGTTGCAGGTGCCGACGACCTGGTCGCCGACGTTGTTGGGCCAGCGGTCGTATCGGTGTCGGTGGTGGTGGCCGCCGCCGCCGCCGTCGACGTGTTGAAAGATGCATCTGGTGGTGCACCGTGGCGCCGGCGGCAGGCCGTCGACGACGAACGCGGAGAGCGTCCGGCTGTGGCGGTCCTTGAGGACGGCGAGCGGCTTGGCGCGCATCGTCGTCGCCGTCGTCGGCGTCGCCATCTCCGGCTCCATCTCGTCGACGCCGTCGCGCCACCGACGGCAGACGAGGCGGATGCGGCGCCGGCCGCTGATCGGCGGGAGGCGCTTCAGGATCTCGCCGAAGATGTCCCGGTGGACGTGCCCCCAGCGGTCGTCGTCGCCGTCCATCGCCGCCGCCGTGGCTTCGATCGGCGCCGCGTGCGTGTTGATTTGAGTCTGCGTTGTTGGTGGTGGCGGCTGCTCGGCGCCGTCGTGGGCAAGTATAAAACTATAAATAGGTGCCAAAGAGCTAACGAACTCTACGTGGATATTGCGATTCTCGTTGGAGGCGGATATGATGAATAATTGTGCTCCAAAAAAAACAAGATTTGGAGTATGGTCGGCCGAAAGGCCCGGCCCACGGTATGGGGCTTTGGCCCGACCCAAGCATGGCACAGTCCGATTGGTGTCCATCCACCATTGAGTCGTACTTGGGCCTCTTCCTCGGTATGATAGGCTGTCTCAGCACGTTCTGTTCAACGATCAGGGAAGCGAAGTAGTTGAGGAAGCTAAGATAGACAATTTCAGCCATATAAAACACGGCCCAAAGAGTTGATGGATGCAAAATTGACTTATTCCAGCGAGGCAAAATAGTTGAGGCCCGTGAAAATCACTTATTCTGTTGCTCTGCCGCTTGAAAAAATAGTGACTTTTACATACACCTTGGTCTAGGCTGTTACTCAACCCGTTCGCGAAAACAATTTTTGACCATTTGCAAACATCAATTCTGTAGTAGTGATAGTGACGAATCAATCCAACCCGGATAAGGACTCTTGATTTTATGTGAGAGCAAGGGAGACACTTGATTTTATGTCGGCCAATAGAAATACTGAAAATGTCAAATAAGATGGGATTGCCATGTCTATTTTTAGTTTGTCGGCTTGGTTAATTATTGGCCTGGCTCCACATGCAGACGTAGACATAACTCCCATCTAAATCTTGGCGCCGCCACCTCTCTTTTCCCATGCTACTATTTTTATCATTCCCCACCATCGTAGCAACACAACGTAATGGTAGAAAAAACTAGCGTATATCCTTTGAAGGGATGCCTATAAGGTTGGCTTTATAGTTTAGATGGCCCTAAGGTGAACTTGGTGTATGCCTAAGCGACATGAATATATATCACTGACATGATACGCTAAGTAGTTGTAATATGATCTTAGTTCTCGATAAATAATATTGATACTACAATTGAAAAACTAAAATAAAGCATAATAATGAAAGAAAACCTAACATGTTAGCTAAAAAAAATATTATTATCTATAAGTATATTTATAAGTTGAAGAACAACCTAATATTCGAAATCAATCAATGTAAAATTTAACTTTGATGTGTGGAAGCATATAAATTAAAGAAAATATTGGATTGGCCCCCTCCTAGGCTAGGCTCTATGTGGTCACGCCTTTCGACTATGCCTTCTGCCAGGGCTAGGAAGCTTCTACACTCAAGACGAGCATCGTTTAATATTAACCCAAAGAATACAGTACCCAACTATGCATTTACTTCTTCTTCTTCTTCTTCTTCTTCCTCCTCCTCCTCCTCCTCCTCCTCCTTCTTGTCCTCCTCCTACTTGTATATGTTTAAAGGTTCACTGGTCTCAATATAGCTGAACATTCTTAGTTTTCTGTTTTTAAATTTTGCCACTGGTGTGCCTTCTATTGCCCTTGAGATAATACTCCCATCCTTGAGGGAGCATGGCAAGTGCCGGTACACTATATTATTAAGTCCCTGATCAAACATTTCTCGATAGATGTTTGTTAAGACGCAATTGCCGTAAGCAAAGTATGGCCGTCCGATCTTCTGGGTAGGCTGAAGCCCTTGTATAGTGCGCCATTTGCTCCATTTTTGTTTGCCACCTCGTCCCTCTAATAGCCACACCTGTAGATTATAACAAATATTATACAAATTACATATGAAGAATAGACTAATTCTTATATTATAGAGAACGTATAATATACATTATGATCTTGTTATGAAAAAATATCGATAAACATGCAAGTTAAATTTCAATTTGATAAATAGAAACAAAAATAAAAGAATAATTATGAGTAGTGCGTACTATATACAATTAAATTTGTTTTTTTTTTCAAAGTATGCAAGTAAAAATTGAACTTACAAATTTAGGAAGTAATATATCGCATATTAATCTTGTCGATTTTGTTTAGATTTTTACGGATGACATGGAAAAACGAGTGCAACTAGGAAAAAGACTTGTTGAGTGTACCTCAATGCAGATTGAGTTCCGCTGGTGGATGGCGATGGAGACTCCCAGCCTCCCGCCTACATCCGTCAGCTGGCAGCAGGCGTCCTCCTTCGCCATGGACACCGGCAAGCGGCACCTGCTCATCGCCGGCAGCGGCGCGACGGCCGCGACGCGCTCGTGCTCGAGGTCGAACGACATGATCTCCCTGCCCTCGGCCACCCAGTACGTGGCGCCGTCGACGCTGACGACGCCCCAGGCGATGCACAGGCTCCACGGCGGCACCCCCACCGCGCGCCACGACGCGGCGCCGTCCCCCAGCGTGAGGACATTCACCACCCCGCCGTGGCGGGAGGGGAACGACGACGCGGCAGCGGCGGCGGCGGCCGAGGTGGTGCCCCCCAGCGTGACATCATCCACCCGCCCGCCGTTGGAGGGGAAGTGGACGATCTTGTACTTGCCGGTCGTGGGGTGGTAACCGAAGCAGAGTGGACCCGCAGTACGGCGGTGGCTGCTGGTCGCCATCGTCTCCAGCGGCGGCGACGGGATGTGTAGGGTCTCGCCGGTGACCGGGTTGGTCACGAAGATGCCGCAGCCGCCGGAATAAGATCGGTCGAGCCACAGGCAGATCAGGCCGTTGCACGAGCCGACCATGTCGTCGTTGTTGTAGCGGGCGAAGAAATCCCTATCGCCGCCGTCGTTGTCCTCCTGCTTCTCCTCGCGGAAGAGGGAGGTGACGTCGCAGTCTCCGGCGATGTCGTGGAGGGAGAACGCGGAGGGGGGCTCGTAGCAGCCGTTCTTGAAGAAGGCCAGCGGCTTTGCGCGCCTCCGCTGCACCTCCGGCTCGATCTCGTCGACGACGTCGCGCCACCGCCGGCCGGTGATCTGCGGGAGCCGCCTCAGGATCTCCCAGAGCACGTCCGTCGGGACGTCGCCCCAGCGGCCGCCGCCGTCCATCGTCGCCGGCGTTTGTGTTGAGGTGGTTAGCGCCGTTAAGCAGTAGAAATAGGGAACTCAGAACAACAAACTCTGAGTGCGCTAGCAATCCTATTCCTATGCCGCTACGGCCTACGCTATGCATGTGAATCGGTCAAAAATATTGGATTCTCTCGAATTTCTTCTAGATTGGCTAGCTAGCTGTGGTTTGTTGATTAATTTGTGTGTAGGTTATCATGCACGTGTATAGTTGGCCAAAAGGCCCAGCCCACGGCACAGGGCTTTGGCTCGACCCAAGCACGACACAGTCCGATTGCATCTGGCCTGTGCCGGCCCAGCACAACTATTGGGCCGTGCTTGAGCCCCTTCCTCGGCACGATGGGCCAGTCCAACAATCATGGAGACAAAATAGTTGAGGGAGCAAAAATAGACAATGTCAGCCATATAAAACATGGCCCAAAGAGATGAGGGATGCATAATTGACTTATCCAGCCCTGTAAGACACGGGTTAGAGAGATGAGGGACGCAGAATAGACTTAATCCAAGGAGTAGCACGGTGGACTTTTGTGCCTTCGGGTCGGCCCAGGCTGTGCCTACGTCGTTGGTGTAGTCCGTGGACGGGCATGGCCCAGTCCGGCGTGTAGGTCAGGTCATGCCAGCTCAACTGATCTCCGGACTGGGCGGCACATTTGGCCATCTATAATTTGGAGGGGGAGAAGTCTCACTAAATATTTTTTTTTAAAATAAATTGTTAGCGTGTGAGAGATAGAACACGAAATCTCGGGATTGAAATCATACGCCCATTACTACTGCACTAATGGGGTGTATATCCTTTGAAGGGATGAAATGGCTTTTCACGTATAGAAGATATAGTATGTGGTGTTTGCGATTCGGAGGATGCCTATAAGGTCGGTTTTATAGTTTCCATGGCCCTAAGGTAAATTTCCACTACTACAAAAACTCTCATAGGACGGGCTAATAGGTTGTATAGCATCGGAAGTTCACCTTTTTGGTTTTATAGCACCGAAAAATACCGGTTCACTTTAATAGCACCCAAAGTTCACCATGTTCTCATTTTTAACACTTCCGTCAATTCTCGATCGTTTTTCATCTGCCTTAGATCACTATTGACCCAGCCACGCACACGATATGACGTTTCTACCCCTCATTGCCATGCATTCTACTTGTACCGATACCTATAGTTTATTATAGGTCCTAGGTTTATATAAATCCAGCACCTATTCTAACAGGCAACCAACACCCATACTTATCCATCAAACCCTCTCGCCAACACCCACATGTCCATCCATCCATCCCTCTCGCCACCCCTCTGTGTGTGTGTGTGTGTGTGTCTGTATGTCTGTCTCTCTCTCGCCCCTCCTCTCCCTTTGCGCCTTCCTCTCTGGTGGGGCAGAAGCGTTTGACGTAGGAGCGGCGCGGACGACGGAGGACACGGCGATGGTCCTCTCCTGGCCCAGGGGCCCTCCCCCCTCTCTCCTACTCCAGCGCGGCCGACTCAGGTGGTCACTACTGGAGGCTGGCACACGCGTGGCGAGGTGGTGGCGGCGGTAGTGGTGGTGGTGGTGGTGGAGGTGGAAGCTTGTCAGGCCCCTTTCTCTCGGGGGCCCTCCCTCCTCTCCGGCACCCTCCACCTTCTCCTCCTGAAGATCCGGTGATGGCAGTGGTGGAGAAGAACGATGGGGATAAGGTGGCGGCCGACACGGAGGCTGGCACGGCGAGGTGGCAATGGCGGCTGTGATGGGAAAGGAAGCTCGCGAGGTGGAGGCCAGGGCCTTTTGGATCACACCGGCCCCCTAGCGCGGAGTAGGGTGGCGGCCGGCGCAGCGAGGTGGCGGCGCGGTCACCGAATCGGCTCCATCGGTGATTTTTATTTATTTTCTTAAATACTATAGTTGCTGGTTGTGGGTGTAGAACCGGCACCTACATTCTCTCTAGGTGCCCATTCAGAACCCGGCACCAACGTGTATGAGCACTAGTGCCGACTAATATGTGCAGTATAGCCAGTTCCCAACCGGCTCTTACGATGGTTTCTGTACTAGTGTTGGTGTATGCCTAAGTGACATGAATTAATATCATTAACATGATACACAAGTAGTTGTAATATGGTCTTAGTTTTCGATAAATAATATTGATACTACTATTGAAAAACTAAAAAAAATAATAATAATGAAAGAAAACCTAATATGTTAGCTAATAAACTATTATTATAGAGATACTACTAGGAGCGCAGCGTGCTCTTATTATTCCGAGCGCCAAGCATGCATCGGCCCGCGCTCACCCCACCTCCGCGTCCCATCATGCTGCACCCGCAATTATCGGAGTAAACGATTTACTTCGATAAAAACAATTTCTCTACTTCCGACCCCACCCCACATCTCAACAATATTTATAACACTATGTTGATGAAAAATCCGCGCTCAGCCGATGGTGCCTAGTCTGTGTTGGCGCGAACTAAGTCGACAAACACAACGGCCAGAGAGATCTGCTTAGTTCTAGTGCAGGTCCAAAGGTTGATGAGATGTAGGCGTGCCAGTTAGTTTGATCCTGCAACTGACAAGATATATAAATATTAGATCAAATAACCGATCGGCTGACAAGCCGATGGAGTAATTCCAGCTGATGTCGATACCTGCCGATAAAGATAGGGTTTTCAACAATTGGCTATATGTTTGATGTAGAATCCGACACTTGATGCAAATAAAGACAATCGACTGATGATAATATAATAAACGACAATATAATCCAGTAGAAACCAATTAGCTAACAATGATATGATAGAATAAACATTGATCCGATGGTTAAAGCATACATCAGCTAGAAGACCGATGTCATAAAATCCACAGGATTAGATAAACAGTGAATCCTTTGTTGCGATCGGCTAAATCCAAGTTGTATGTAATCCTTATAAGCCGATGCAATATCCAGATAACTCATTGGTTGAAACCCTTATTGGGAATTAAAAAGCAAGCTAGAGTTTATGATTCTAAGCATAACTTAGTAGATCAAACTTAACTGATGCATCACTAAGTATAAAAATAAACATAATATCTAGACAATCAAGCCCTTGACTGATTTTCAAGGTGGCAGATCCCTTAGCTAATCTAATATGGTAAAGCGATTTAGCCGATACCGACGTAAACCCTAAAGCGAATATCAACCGATACAAGTAAATCGAACTACCAAGCTAGATTAACTAAGATATGTGATGGAGAGGTGCTTACATTGACAAGATTAGAGTGTCGATGCCCTAGCCCCGCCGATGCAAACAGCCATAACAAGTCTTACTCCTCGTCAGAGCATGAACTCATCGAAAAGGTATAAAAGCAAAAGGGTGGCGATGCGCTGAAATTGTATTGATCGTGGAGATAGTTTACAATGACCCCAGGTGTACATATTTATATCCGAGGGTAGATACTAGTCCTTGTTGGAGAAGAAAGAAACTTTTCTAAAGATAAAAGGAAAACATAAAGTCCTTATCGGACACTAAACACACTTTCCTAATGATAAAAGGAAACTAGAAAACTCTTCCTAATTAATATATAACTTGTCATGCCGCATCCTCCTTGAACTCGGTCACTTTTGGATAAGCTTTCTTTAATAGATTAATTTCCTTAACCGAATCCTCTAAGAATTTAACTGCTGGCGACTCGATAACTCCCATTGGCCGATTCCAGAACTCTAAAGCCAATATTGATTTTAGGTTGATGACGTCTTCAGGGCTTACCATATTTCGTTGTTAACACACTGGTAAAATAATTACTAGAGTTATAAGTTGATAGTTTTTTTTTATGGCCATCTAGGAACGGTGTCGAACGATGTGAGAGCATTCATGCAAGTAAATTTCTTACTTTTGAAGGGGGGCATTCATACGAGTAAATATGTTACTTTTGAAGGTGCATAGGTGGGATGCTAGGAGCAAATTAATAGAAATCTCAGCAGAGTAAATTTGTTACTTTTAAAACATGGAGAGACACTAGAAAAACAGAAAACTCGGAAACAAAAACTAGATGGTAGTATTTTACTAAAACATGAAAACATAAAAAAATCTGGAGAGAAGCAACGAGAAAACATTTTGATGAAGCATAAATGAGATGAAAAAGAGAAAAAAGAAGCACGGAAGGTGGCGTGGTAAAAAAAATAAAAAAAAATCGGACGGAGGAAAGCTAGGATGCTGAGGAAAGGTGGGGTGGTAAACAAAGGGAAAACCGAACGGAATGAGCATTGTGCGGTGCTCGAACTAGCACTCCACGTGCGCCACGCATATTAGCACCACCACTATTATTATCTATCAGTATTTATAAGCTGAGGAACAACCTAATATTCAAAATCAATCAATGCAAAATGTAACACTCATGGGCATAATTAAGCATATAAATTAATAACAATATTGGATTGACCCCCACCTAGCCTAGGCTCTATGTGGTCACAACTCTCGACTATGCCTTTTGCCAGGGCCAGGATGCCTCAACACTCAAGATGAGCATCATTTAACATTGACCAAAAGAATGTAGTATCCAACTATGCATTTACTACCGCTACTTCTTCTTCTGTGTCCTCGTCCTCGTTGTTTTCCTCTTCTTCCTCCTCCTCATCCTTCAATGATGATGATGATGATTCCTCCGCCTCCTCCTTCTTGTCCTTATTGTCCTCCTCCTTGTATATGTTTAAAGGTTCACTGGTCTCAATATAGCTGAACATTCTTAGTTCTCTGGTTTTAAACTTTGCCACTGGTGTGCCTTCTATTGCCCTTGAGAGAATACTCCCAGCCTTGAGGGAGCATGGCAAGTGCCGGTACACTGTATTACTAAGTCTCTCATTGAACATTTGCCGATAGAAGTTTGTTAAGACACTTGCCGTAAGCAAAGTATGGTTGCCCGATCTTCTGGCTAGGCTGAAGCCTTTATATGGTGCACCAATGTCTCCATCTTTGTTTGTCACATCGTCCCTCTAATATCCACACCTGTAGATAAACAAATATTACACAAATTACATAGGAAAAA